CTTGAGAGAAGCAGAGTAGTCTCTACAAGACTCTGCCAGTTTCTGTGCCAGGATTTTATTTAGAATCATAGCATCATTTAGGTTGGAAAAGACGCTTAAGATCATTGAGTCCAACTGTTAAACTAACACTGCCAAGTCCACCACTAAACCATGTCCCTTAGTGCCACATCTATGTCTTTTAAATACCTCCAGGGGTCCTATCACTTCTTACTTGGGAGAAGACATGGACAGCCACCTCATTACAACCTCCTTTCAGGTAGCTGTAGAGAGGTCTCCACTTGTGATAGGGGTCTTGCAATAAGGTCTCCCCTCAGCCTCCTTTTCTCCAGACTAAACAACTCCAATTCCCTCAGCCACTCCTCGTGGGACTTGTTTTCTAGACCCATCACCAGTTTTGTTGCTTGTCTTTAGACACGCTCCGGCACCTCAATGTCTTTCTTGTGGTGAGGGGCCCAAAACTGAACACAGTATTCAAGGTGCGGCCTCACCAGTACAGAGTACAGAGGCACAATCACTTCCCTAGTCCTGCTGGGCACACTATTTTTGATATAAGCCAGGATGCTGTTGGCCTTCTTGGCCACCTGGGCATACTCCTGGCTCATGTTCAGTCGGCTGTTGACAAACACACCCAGGCCCTTTTCTGCTGGGCAGCTTTCCAGCCTCTCTTCCCCAAGCCTGTAGCGTTGCAGGGGGTTGTTGTGACCCGAGTGCAGGACCCTGCACTTAGCCTCGCTTGGCCTTGCCCTGTCAACTCAGCCTGTCCAGACCCCTCTGTGGAGCCCCCCTGCCCTCAGCTTACTGAGGGTGCACTCAATCCCTTCATCCTGGTAACTGACAGAGATATTAAACAAAACTGGCCCCAACATGGAGCCCAGGGGAACACCACTTGTGACCAGCTGCTGACTGGAGTTAACTCCATAGTCTGCTGGCACTTGCTCTCTGACATGCCTTGTTTGCACAGGTTTTCAGGGCCTTGCCTGTGCAAACACGTGCTGTGAAGATGAGACCATATGCAAACAGAAAGCAGCTGTTGTGAATTGCATGTCAGGCTTGTTCCTCTTGGAGGGAAATTGAGAAATTAGCAGAGGGGCAGCTGTGAACTATGGCATTCGTAGATATTGCAAAAATTAGTCTATATTGTGAGAATACAATCTTACTTTAAGGTGAGCATCACTCTTGCCAGGTATCTGAAGTGAGCTGGTATTACCATAAGTGCTGATTATACCATACTTCTGTTCCAGACTATGGGTGGTGATAGCATCACTGAGCCTCGTCATTTTCTAGCTTATCTTTCTGCTCTGGATAAATATTCTACTGCTTATTTGCAAGATGGCAAACTCATCACGCCTTGAGGTGATGAACACGTGATTTACACTGGCACAGCTTTCTCTGTGTGATGCAATCAAGGAAGGTCAAATGCACATGCATCACAAGGTGTATTGAATATATTGCAAGACCACATCTACCTGATCTTACCAGCCGCATCCATGGAGGTGCCTCTGTCTGGAGGCTAAGTTTAACTGGTTAAATCACATCATGGCCAGAGCTGTGCAAAGCACTGCGTTCCTGGATACACCCTAACTGAAGTGCAGCACCAAAGTGCCTCTCCTACCAGGTCTCAGAGCACATGCTCTTGACACCAGTCCTGTGTTTTCATCTTCCCTAGTACTCCTGCTTCCAGTGACTTCTGCTGCCAAACAGTTCTCCATTGCATCCTTTATCCCTGTGGCTGATAGTGATTCAGTCTGAGCTGAGCTCTAAGCAAAGGTTGTGAATACATTGCATAACTCAGAGAGGTGCCTAGCAGCGTGTACGGGCATTGTGAAAGATGGGGCTCTTAAATGCTGTTGAGACTGGTGGGAATTAAGACTGTCAGCTTCTTAAGTACATTTGTGAATACTCCTCAGCCTAAATATAGTTTTAAACCTGGCCTTTGGTGGCTGATGCTGGTGGTGAAGGCTTCCTGACAGTTCTGTGCCCTTTAGAGGTATATGTTTCTTACTGCCAATTTGTAAGGACTTGAGAAGTGTCAGGCTGGTTGTCCTCAGAATGCCTTTGAAACAGGGAATTGGTTTTATTTCACAATTGGGTAACTCAGACATACATTACAATCAATGATTCTCATAAGCATGTGAATTGAGGATTTAACTTGCATGGACCTTTGAATCAGATATAGATGCAATCTGTATGTTGCCTGTTGAAGCATAGAGATGCATGTCACGTTTGACTTTCTTCCATAGGTGGCATTGGAGAAGCAGTGTGCGCTGCAGTAGTGGGTGAGCCTGGTATCACGGTCAATCGCTTGGCCGTGTCTCATGTACCACGCAGTGGGAAGCCAGCTGAGCTCCTGAAGATGTTTGGCATTGATAAAGATGCCATTGTGCAAGCTGTTAAGGTGGCAGTGTCCAAATCAAGAAATGCGGAGTAGTTTGAGGCATCTTGTGCTGTTACAGAAAATCAGTGTTCAGAGAAGTACTGTAAGTTTAAAGCAGGCAAAGGTGCTTTATGTAGAGCGTTCTAATAAAAATACCAGCTTAAAAAACTTTCTGGTTTTTAATCTCTTTTTTTTCTCCGTGGGGTTTTGTGCAGTGGAGTAACATCTGAAAGTTTTAAGTCACTGAAAAATATTCAGGTTATTTAACAATTTGTGGGCAGCTGTGCTTTGTGTGCTGTATAGCAGGAGCATTTTCTGCTTTGCAATTAACCTTCCCTACTGTGAGTGCTAGCGTGGGAGCAGTTGGGTGTTCACTGAAGGTCTGAGCAGGCCGTGCTTCGGCAGGGAAATAGACGTTGGGCATTGTAGCCTAGGGTGAATCAAATAACTTCTTCAATGTTTGGTCCAACTTACTGCTGAAGATTAAAATCGTGTCTTGAAGGGAGTTTGGTGAAAAGAGAGGTTTGCATGTATTGCGGGAGGAGGGTGGCCAGTGCCTTTGCTTCAATTCCTCCTCTCTGCATTGCCCCCCAGCCATTTAAAAATGAAGGTGAAAAGGAAGCGTCCTGGATCATGTCCTGGGGAGCCAGCAGGGGGAGGCGGAGGCCCAGCAGAGCTGTGGGAGTGAGCAGTGAGCCCTGGGCTCAAGACTGCTGGGCTTGGAGAATGGTAGCTCAGTGAGCACAAGCTCATTTAAGGAGGCTGAAACTCTTCATAGGAACTGGTATCATATTTTTGAGTGCTTGGCCAGTGCTGCAGCAGGGGGGATATGTGAGACCGGAATGAGAGCATCGCCGTTGGGCAAGAGGCAGGAATGTTTAAGATGGTGAGATGGACTCAAGAAGAACAATCTGAACGAACAGCAGGGAATTCCCAGGTGGCTGAGAGGATGCGGCTGAACACGTAAGTTGCTTTTTTCTACAGAATTGTCTCCTCATGTGAGCTCTCTATGTTGGGTGAGCTGTTCATTTCACATGATGGGTTCCACTGGGTGATTTTTAAACATTTTGCTATTTTTATACGTTTTGCTTATTTAACCCTTAGTCAGCTTCTATTTAAAAAAAAATTTAAAAATCACTTTGTTGACTGTGGAGTACCAAATTTGAAAATATATTTAGTACTGAAATAGTTTCTCATCCTGACTATTCCACAAATTACCTTTCAGAAAGATGTCATATAGCAGAGTAAACTAAAAAAAAGCAATTTCCATCAGAGCAGGGTGACTATGCGTAGTTTTCTGTTGACCTGGAAGCAGTTGACGTTAACAACACTACACTGGTCTGAGCAAGACTTTACTTGCAGACTAACAACACAAAATATACAGTATTTTTGTATGACAAGATACATAAATAGTATATGTAAATGAGAGTATAAATATTACGAAATAACTTGTGTTCATGCTTATTGCTTAATTTAACCCCTGATGTGTTAGGTAACTGCTGTGCTGTGTTGGTACAGGCCTGCATACAATTGCTAGTGTTTCTGGATATGCAAATGGAACTGCACCATGTGAGAATGATCAACACTGGTGCTTAAAATTTAAAATTAAGTACAACTAAACAGTAAGTGCTTTAATTTTTGGAGCAAGGCTTTAAATTGCTTCTCCAAAACTTTGGGGTGTTTGGACTAATGGCTTTTAGATCTACATTTCCTTACAATTCCATGTTTTGTGACTCTGTGTGACTTCATGCCTTCATCCTTCTATGTGTATGAACACCTTGAATTTTTAGTAAAAATTCAAAGGCATCCCCCCCCCCCCTTTTTTTTTTTTTTTGGAGTCTGCCTATGAGTGCATTAGCCCTACATATATAACATGTGACGTGTCCCTTTACAATGAAAGGAATGGCAAAGTTGCACTTTATTTTACTGAGAGAAAAATGTTGGGGAATGAGTCAAATCAAGTACTTTATTTTTCCCCTCAGAAGAAGAGATGAAATTTGCTGCTGTTAATAATCTCATCACTGCACCATTGTGTCACTGCATGTAAAATCTCACCCAGCTTTCACTGGGTGAAATCATTATACGCACACTATATTGAGTTCTGCCACAATAAATTAATCTGTGTCAGTGCTATTGCACTGTTGGGGCTCAGCTGTGTAAGCAAGCAGCTGGTGTTTGCCTGGTTCGCAGCATCACAAGGGGTGAAGAGGAGGGGGCTGTGTGGTTGCCAAGATCTCTACTGAAACATCCAGAGCCTAATCCAGAACCAGCTGAGGATAATATTGGTCATTTTGTTGATTTTGATACACCATAGGCAGACTAACATGGTTGCATGGGGGAGGAAAGGAAAATGTGTTTGTATTTAATGGAATTAAATATAAACCAACATCTAGATTGTCTTATGAGCTCTGCTGAGCCATGAATCACTTCAGAAGAAAGACTGAGACCCTGTAATGCGATTTCAGGTTTATTTTTGAGGGGAGGGAATGATGTCTTTCTGTGGTTTGACATTTCAATATTTCGCATTAGCCATTAGGTTTTTATGTTTGCCTCATCAAGCAGTTCTTTTAATACTAGAAATTCAGACAGCAGGGTTTTGTGGAACTCTCTGGCAATACTCCTCCTCTTAGGCAGTTTTCATCCTGCCTGCATGATGAAGAAAAAGAAGAGTGTCAGGTTATTGTGTTCAAACTGACATGTATCTGTGCAGCTTTTCAGCATTCTTCTTATTTCATGTTCATGAACATAGATAAATGTGAGCCTGGAGTCTGTTTGAAGACCCAACAAGAAAAACCTACCACAGTCCCTGAATTTTTAATTGAGCTGTAGAATTCTTATTCAGACATTGTCAGCAAATAGTTAATACCCCATATAGGGCAGAGTATTAAAAATGTGAAAATGCTCTGCCACATGGAAAGAGTCAAGAATAATTCATTTTCAAACCCAAGCACCTGTGATGGACTGTAGTAAAATAATTTTTTTAATTAAGAAGATTGGAAATTGTGATTTAGAGAAGTTGGTCTTATGACCTGACCCAAATGAAGTACCCAGGAAGGTCTAGGAAATACGCATGCAGTCAGTAAGAAAATTGCTATTACCTGTTGGCCTCAATTTGTCAATCAGAGGAATAAAACTGTCAAGTACGCTCCGAATTCGATACACTAATTGTGAAAACAAACATTTTTTTCAACATGAGCCAGATAGCAACATAAAACATAGAAAACAGAAAAATGTCAAAAACCAAACACTGACAGTTGCATTAATGAACCCAAGATTACTGTTTAAACATGCACTTTTGCAATATAATTAAAAACAAAGTAGTGACAAGGATGATTCCTAAGAGAACCATTGACAACCTACCAAAAATATTACCACACGATTATAAAGGAGACTTCTGTTGTTGGTGGGGAAGCCATAACCTGCTGCTAGTTGCACCTTTCCCACGTCATCCCTAGGGATTGCCAAGATTGCCCATTTTTTAATAGCATTTTCAGTAGCTGCTGCCATCCAGGTTCTGCTGAGAGCTCTACCTCAGGGTGTTCAGCTGCTTCAGTCCCCGGGGAATGAATGGCAGCCTGAGCACGCAGCACCTTACAGAGTGTGTGTGGGAAGACTGCCTTGCTGCTAAAATTATACGTTGTCATGGCAACTTCGCGATCAGCCATTGCTGCAGAAAGAGGTGACTCAGGGTCTTGTGATCATTGAGAATGGAAAATGAGTCAACCTCTCCCTTCGGTGTCACTAAGACACATGGTGTAGATAGTTACAGGATGATTTAGGGAATCTCGGCACTAGCGGTTGTACAGACTTGCGTAGACTGTCTGACCTCGTATCCTTAGTGTTGATACCAAGCTGGCTGCTGTAGATACACTTACCTAGACCAAAGTATATCCCAGTGGTTTCCAGGGAAGCAAAAGTGATTAAACCAGTTCCAAGAGAAATAGTCCAATCTAAGGCAACAAAATAAATGTTTGGCTTTGTTCATTTTTTTCTAGTGTACAACAATTTATGCCCCTATTGAAGTCTTGCCTTACCTTTGTAATAGTAGTAGCAAATTAGTAAAGCTCCAATTGCAAAGCAAAGAATGACAAAATGAAAGAATTCATCTGAAATAGAGAGGGAAAATTAGGTCTCAACTGTAGGCATGGCCCTTATGAATATAACAAGGTACAGTGTATCGCTCAGTGAATAAAGTCTGCTTCCACCAGATGTCTCTACACTAGGCTCAACTGCAAAACATACATGCACACAAGTTATGAGAAGCTTTGATGCTCTTCAACAAAGTACTCATGTCAAAAAAAAAATGTTTTTTTGAGACAGATCTTTTTTGTGGATGAATGTTCAACAGGGTTGACATCAGTTGAATTTAAAAAAAGTATTCAAGAAATTACCATCTTTCCGTATGCCCATCCACCGTACTGTCCACTGATGGAGGTGAGTGTTCTCATTTTCATATGCTACAAAAAAGAAATCTGTTATTGCCATGGAACTCTGAAATTAAGGAGTTTTAAGTTTATTTCCCTTTTTGTATCTGAAATATATTCTCAGAGCAGACTATTTGTAAAACTGTTTGTTCAAAGGAAAGATCTGCAAGCCTTTCAAGAAAGATCAAATTCACAATTTTTAAATCGCCCCGAAAAGAGCAGGTTTGTTTTGTTTGGTGGTTTTGTTTTTTTTTTAAGGTTAATTAGATGGTTGCATTAACAATACAGAATTGTTTTAGAGCACTCTGGGTCTTTTCTGTCTAGTCTGGGGCAATCAGTAGTCTCAGAATTACAGTGGGGGGAGTAAAGCAGTAGTACAGGGGAGCTTCAGTTTGATTCTTGGTTGCTTTGCACAATCACAGCTACAATATTTTAACCATCTTCATTACTAAGCGTATGAGTACCATCAGTCTACTTGAGCCTGATGTTGAAGTATTTCTGCACCCCCCAAATTAAAAACTGTAGTTAACAGTTAGTCTCCTATAGATAGCTATACTGATACATAGAAGGAACAGCATAAGACCAAGCTAGATATTTTTAGAGGGTTAAACTGAGAGCATTCTGCTCTATGCTACTAGTGAGCAGAGGTGCCAGATTCTGTTCTTTCTTCGATTGTATTGTCAAAAGTCAGAAAGAGATGAATATTTTACCAGAATGCCAATGACATGTTCAAACCAGGTGTTTTTTTCCTTTTTTGTTTGTTGATTGCTTGAGAAGACCCCCAGCCAGTCTGGTGCATATTAGCCTTTGGGAGTTGATTCATCGCAGGTTTTAGATGCTGATTTCACTTACATTGGGCTTTGCATCCAGGCAACCACTGCCTGGCAGTGAATGTCATTTTCTCTACAGATATAACAGGAGAGTACTGGAAATGTACTCCAGATGAGCTACAGAGTTTTGCTGTTGTGCTTTTGAACCATAAAGCAACTAAACTTTGACAAGAAATTCTGTTCTGGGTCACCTGACACTGAAGTCACATTTTTGAATTTTTAATTCTTTAAGCATTCTGGATTGATCAAGTTCTGGTTTGGGGACAAACTCAGTTAGTTGATTGTTAACGTTAACAGAGCATTACACTGTTCCGACTCACAAATCTTCGCCTGTGCAGTGGTATGAATGATCTATAGACACAGAATTTATCAGAACATCAATTCATACTTGGCAAGTGTCTGTTCTGTATTACTCTGCCTTCTAAATGCAGTAGTCCCACTGTAACGTGGTATGGAAGGACTTGCACAGTATTTCTTCTATTAAAGCATCACAGTGCATTTTAATAACTATTCTCAAACTTGTACTTTTTTATTAGGAAATAGCTAGGTATCAAAAAGCGGTATAGCTATCATCACAAAGCAAAACTCAGTCCTGAAAGACAGCATCCACAAGAAAAACTTCTGTTTGCTTGTTTATATTTACCATTTGCAATTGAATCTTCTCTTCTGGTAATCTCTGAAAAGCAACATAATTATTTCTGATGGTAAAAATACAAACACATTGTGTCCCACCATTACCAGCACTATCAAGCACAGCAAGTATTGACCTACGTGGTGACTGAGTACAGACAAAGCAGTACTTGCAAGTGCCAGGAAATTAATGAAGTTAAAAGGGCCCAAGAACGAGTAACAATAAAACTGACTATTCACAGTGAGCCCAGGTTCACTGAAATAGCTGGGCAGTAGAAGATGACTGGCCACTGTGTTCATGTTCAGTTGCTACTGAACTGGAACCAAGCAGAGCTGGGATCACCAGTGCTGCATGTATCACCTGAACCTGTCCAATGCAGTAGGCATGATGTCCTCCACTAGCTAAGTATTTTCAGTGTCTCAGTTGGGTGTATTGAAGTGATCTAGAACTGAAGCAACAAAGGCCATGGTGAGAAGTGGAGAGGCTAAATACCAACTGGAAAAGCACTGTAATCCTCTTTCTGTACATGGCAACGTGGGGAGAGGATTGTGTTACAGCAGATTCCTCTGCCCTGGTATTTGATGTAACCCCTTGGGGATAGGTAACTCAAAAACCTCCCCTAGCGATTATGCTGCAACATAACTCTGTCTTCACCTGAAACAGTCCAAGTCACAGCAGCTATTCCCCACTCCACAGCAGAGAAGTTTTTCAGCAGATGTCCTCTCAAAAAGGCTGGTCTGCTGAGCTGTCTGCCTCTCATCATAACCAATGAATGTGGCATTGGCCTTTGGAGGGAGGGATGAGGTCAGTAATGCAATCAAGCCATTGAAAATTTCCTGCTATGGGCTTTTTACATCTGCTCTGCTGCTGCTTGGCAGTCCCTGATAAAAGGAAATTTGCCTTTAGACTGGCTGGCTGTTCAAGCCTCTCAGCTGGAACTGTTTCTCTGTTGCTTTCACCTGGCATCTTCTACCGGGGAAGGCTCTGTGCTCTGAGCTGAGGAAGGTGGTCAGAGCTGAGTATCACTGTTTTGCAGAAGCCAGATTCCAGCTCCCTCACACTTTTGCCATCTGAGATAGAGGGCTGCAGGGAATGCTGAAAACTGCCTAGCATTCTCAGGAGAGACTGAACAGAATTCCTGGGTTCTCCCCTAAAAAGGATGACAACTTCTGTGAGCTGATCTTGTGAGAAGCTGGCAGGCCTACCAAAAAATGGGGCAATCTGCTAGAGGTATACATCTGCTAGCAGCCAGCCACTATGACAAGCTTGCTACAGAATGTCTGTATCACACCTAGGTCCAAAACCAAGCTAACTGGAAACCAATGGATTTACAGCTGGGGGGTCATTTTAACATATAAGCATGTCAGAAACAAGAACCTGCAGTTACAGTTTTCTGTCCAGCAGGATGAGGTTATCTGGGAACACTTACCTGAATCTCTGTAGGGAACAACCTCTGCTGGTATGCCTAAAATATTATGCAAAGATGATGTAGATTAATATCCATAATGAGTATGCATGTCTTGCTGCCAGTTGTAGCCTGTGCAACTCTATATTGAAATCAGTGTGGTTGTGTGAAAGTAACAAGGTAGATACCAACTCTGGCTCATCAGAGAGGGCAGCTCTGACGTGGATTATGCAGCTTGAGAGAGGGAAACATGAATGAATTATTAACAGCTCCATATTCCATCTCACAATAGCTGGAGTGAGGTAGAATTAGACTCCTTTGAGATAAATTAGATTTCCTAATGTCAATTTAAATGAGCTGCTCTTACATCTGGGCTGAAATCAAATTAAGATATTAATTAAATTATTAAAGCCTTAACTCTTTTACATCCATGGTTCTATACCATAAGTGGATAGCTTCTGTGTGTTGAGACAGCACATTTTCTTTATCTGCATTGTACTTATTTTCCATTTTTCCTTTAGAAGGAAAGGAAAAGCCTCGGGAATGAGATCCAAGGTGTGGTCCTTGCTGATGATCTCCAGTCAGCGGTGAGAGATGACTGGGACCCTGTAAGTAGTGGACGTGATAGATACTTTCAGAACTATTTTGCTGCATTTCAGTGGCAACTGTGCAGACCCAGCTCTCCCGGTTCAACTCTAACCACAGGGCATGACTGAGTGTTAGTATGACTTGAGCCTCATCTTGTAGGAAATGCCCTTCCTACCAGCCACATTCTGACTGGTCCTTTTCCTGTGTCTATATACGTTCATATACCTTTGTCCAGAAGACAAACCAAAGAATGACAGAAATTATCCTTTTTTTGGTTTATATTGGTTGTGTCTAGTAAAAATACTATTTTCACTTTGTCCTACCTTGAAGTAATTGGCCTTCAGTCTTCTTTCTTCCTAAATCTTCCCCATCACTGTCTGGACAGAGAAAGTGTTTTTTCATTAGATTAATGAAAAATGTGCCAGCAGTATCAAACACAACAGCACTGTAGTTGTTTGCTCATAATAATATTATTAAATGTCTGTGGGATATGTAGGTAAAAATCAAGGCTTTGAAATGCAAGGATCATTATTGGCTGCTTCTGCCTCACAGCTCTCCTCAAAGCTGCCTGTGTAGGAAAAAACCAGCAAATAATAATAATTTATAATTTGTATAAAGGGGTAGAGTGAGAAGTTCTTATTTTAAAGACATACATCACCAGTACTGCTAAACAGTTTGAAAAATGTATTTCTACATGCAACTCATTTGATCTTAATTAGCTAGTGGCTTTCTGTGACAGAATGAGCCAACATCAGCATTATCACTTGCATGTTGCCTGTTGCTTTTTAGTCTCTCTCATTTTCGATGAATGAAATGGTCTAGTGGCAGCCAGTGACTTGATATACCGTTGATGTTTGCTAATAAGAAATGCTGGAGAAGTCTTATAGCATTGCCAGCTGCTACTGTACGTTGACTATTCCTTGCCTCCTACTATAGCACAGGCTTCAGCTAGACCATAAACGCGCTAAAGATCGTAGAAGTTATGATCTTATATTTGGGAAGAAATCTTGCAGCAGGTTTCTACATTTCTGAAACTTCCAACTTCCACACGGGCGGGAAGCAGACACTGCTTTGCTGATAATGCATCTAGAGGTACTGATTATTTTCTGTGTTCTCTCTTTTGCACAATTTCTCACTTTTTTTCAGAATTCTGCAAATTGCTACTGAATTGCTGCAAGTCTCCTATGTGAATCTCTTATGAACATGCAATCAGACTAAATTATGAGTCAGAGACAAATAAAATAAATCTTCTTTACCTTGTGTATCTTCATCCATGGACTCATGGGGTGAGTTTTCAGCCTTTTTTTCCCCTTGTGAAAGCATGAGATTCCTCTCCAATCTCTTCAGGAGTTTCAATTTTTCATCTGTTTTATACATGGAGAAAAAAATATTAGAAACAGCTATTTACATTTTCTCTCTTTTACAATGACAGATTTCACAATGCTTTATTAAAGGTTGTCTGACAGGAAATCAGACCCCTAGCTTTATTTCAGATGTTTTTTGCACACAAGGAGTAGCACAAAGCATTACAAATGAAAGCATCATATACACTACTGCTTAGACTTTCTTAAATGGTTGTGGTAGGTGCCTGAAGTTTCATATTCTGGCCTTTAATTTACCCGTAATGCTAACCCTGTGAAAATTCTCACTCCCTGAAGCAATAGCAGCTGCAGCTGAAGGATGTTTTATATGGAGAATAGTTGCTCACGCTTCCCTGGGCTGCTTCTCCCTTCACCCATGTGATTTCTGCTGGGTTCCCTGTGTTTATGCCGCAGTGCCAGCACCCTCTTGTGGCATAAAAGCAAAGCCCTCAAAGCCAGCCAGGCCAAAGCACCCGGGAGGAGAAACCTGCAGGATGCTGTCTCCTGGGCCAGGCAGTGAAGTGCTCCTGGCTTGTGTGGCTGGAGTTGCAGGTGATTCTTAACACCTTCAAATCCAGCTCTGTGCTGAGGGCTGGCAGGTCTGTGCGTCTCTTTGTTATTAGTTATAATATCTGGACATACGCAGCTAGACATGATTTCCCCCAGCTGCTTGGTGCCACCGACTGTACAAGAGTACGAAGGGTGTCTCTGCTGTGACAAACTTTCCTGCTGTGACAGATGACCAGAGCTGGGCTGCTCTCTGGGCTGGGGTCTCTCCCGTTCATGAACATGTTTGATCAAGGAAGAAACAGGAACCCACTCCTTGAGGGTCTCCAGTTAAATTCAGGGTCATCCTAAGTGAGTGCAGCTCTGTGATCCATGAAAGACAATTAATGACTCTATGGACCCTGTGGAACTGTACTTATTTTCTTACTGCACAACCGGGCAAACAAAAAGTGCGGTGGAGACTATTTGTATCTTGCTGCCAGGTTCAGCATGCTGAGTGGCATCCTCTATCCACTCCTTTTAGTTATTACTCCATGTGCTGCCAAGGTCATTTGCAAAAAATATTTTCAGTGACTCAGCTCGGATTTCTCACCACTATGATTGCTCAGAGAGGTCCAGGCTGGCTGGATAACAGTACATGCAAAAAAAGTGTCCTGAGTGTCATGGATCCAGCTAGACAGGAAAAACTGGGGCACCACTTTAAGTAAAAGAAATTTCTTTGCCATCATCATCCCAGGACATCCTCTCTCCCTAAACAAACAAGTTTTCTTCCCCAGAAGCAGACAAGTCAAACTAAAGTAAAATACTATCTTTGGCTCCCATTATCGCCATACCTAACTTTCCTAAGCAGTATTTCTAGACATTTTACTTGTTTGCTTACAAGCATATATCAGGGGGGTTTTCAAACTGGTGTCAACTCCCACTGGCACTGCAGTAATTTTAACAAAATAGCTGACGAGCAGACAGGTAGGACTCACCCTTTCCCTTGGAGCTGGGCAGCTGCCTATATCCAGACAGGTTGGTTGTCTTCAGCAAGAGGTAAAGAACAGCCATTGCCCTGACTCCTTTCTTTTCTATGGCTTTCAGGCAGGCTGCACAGCCTCCAGGCAGGACATTGCAGCTGTTGAGGAGCTGAAAGAAAGGGAAGTAAATAGCAAATAGTCCTTCCAATAAAAAATGGCCTACAAAAACATACCCTGCCCTGCAAATGAATGTATCTCACCCCATCTGTGGGAAATGTAATCCCCTAACCCTACTATACGAGGGGGAAATCAGGGAAAAAGAGTAATGGCAAAGAATGTAAACTCCATATGGCAACTAAGAGCAGAGCCCTCAACTGGGAAAAAACATGGTGTGTAACAGTTAACTATTTAAAGATATGGAGAAATACAGTTATGGGGTCTGAAAATGGGCATGTAATCTCTGCAGTATCTTACAGCAAAATGTCACTAACAATGGTCCAGCCAGCAAAATAGTGAGCTGAACTGATCTTGAGGAATTTATACAAAGCCAGTTATTTTTTCATGGGGAGAACAATGAAGTTGGTCTAGAGGCTTTGAGCGACCTGGTCTAGTGGAAGGTGTCCCTGCCCATGGCAGGGGGGTTGGAACTAGATGAACTTTAAGGTCCCTTCCAACCCAAACCATTCTGTGATTCTAAGTAAACAGCAGGAGCCTGAGTCTCATTTGTCTAAGTGCCCTTTTACAGCATTTAGGATGTTTTAGATATGTTTTAGCATATCGGACAATTGGACTGTATGTTTTATCTCCCCAAAGTATATCAGAGAAGTATAAAAGTATCTGTATAACAATGTCTTACAAATGATACCTGTTTCTTTAGTAACTTACATGGTCCTTTTCTTCAGTATTCAGGATAGGTGGGTCAGTGGTGGCTAAACACTTTACAAGTGATTCCCAGAAGGACTGGTTCATTTTCTCATGATTCTTCAAATAATTGGCATCAGCAGTAAAAACCCTCTGGAAAATGTCTGGGAGGAAAAACCGAGCAAATCACTGTGCAGCAGTAGAAGTGGGCTGCATGGTAGTGTTCCTGTGGTGCTCAGTGTAGGTGTGATGACAGACATCAGATGCTACCATCAGACTAAGATGCTGCCCAACATCAGCATGTTAGGGTACAGGAAAGAGAGTAGTGCTGTATTGTATAAAGCAACTCAGTCTGCCAGAAATCAGTAGAAAAACATCAATAGTCCATAAAATTACTGATGTCTTTGGATGCTATTGTCACAGTCAGAGAAGCAGGGGAAGTATTCCTAGCTATTTAATGGGTGCTTATTCTGACTGCTGTTTTAGAGACAGGCACAAAGGGCTGGGTAAGGAAGTATTGAGATAGCTCATTAGGCATTTAATGCACAGCAAAACCTCCTTTATGCATGTAAATTCCCCCAAGCACATGCCCAAGACCTGACAAGCCTGTGGAAGAGCTGGGAACTGACTGCTGGTCTCTCTTTTACAAGCAAGGAGATAGATGGAGTGTGTTTTAACAAGCAACAAGTTTCATTGACTCATGACTACTTTAGCAAAACCTGTTGTGTATTGTGAGTGAGCCGAAACTTTGGTCTTTGTGTGCTTACCCTTACCTCGCTGTTCTTCAGTGAGATCTGTGAATGGGACATTCAAGGTCTCCATTGCTGTGCCTGTTTGAAAGGAGAGAAAAAGCATATTTAGAAACAGATTGGTCTGACCTCCTCTGTTTTTCTGTCTTACACTTGATTTTCTGCACACATGGCGTCTATCTCTAGGCACTGCCGTTTTGAAATCACTTCTCTGTTGCAATGGCAGTTTCACATCATGATTCATTTACACTCCTACGACCCATTCTTGACTCCACTAAGTCTTGCTGGGCTGGGCTTTGGTTATTAAGAAAGAACAAAAATCCGATCATCATGAGTAAAACAAAAAGAAGTCTGACTTGATCATTCACATTGTTGGTTTTTTTTACAGCTACCAAGGTGTCTAATTAACTGTTTACCACACATGTGAGTAACTTAATAGGCCCTGTTCCATTCACAAAACAGAATGATGATCCGTACCTTTGACATCCCTGTATTTAAAATGTACCAACTGGGGAGAATAGTGGAAATAGTTCATCGGAGAGCCCCGCAAGATTTGGAGTCCTCATCTCAACAGAAGTCTTGGACATTTCAATGTCTGTTCTTCCCAAATTGCCATGGAAAGGAAATTTCCCCTAACTTTATAAGGTTTAGGAATTAAACATTTTTAAGTGTCAATCCCAGATTTCTTACTGGTATTTGCCACAGAAACAAAACATTCTGACGTCCCCAAAATGCAATGTTTCGTTTTGTTTTGCTAAACTCGCCCCAGAAATTTTGCTTTGAGGCTGTTTTGTTCTGATGATGCATTTTTTTGTGGTGGTTGTGATTCTGAACAGTTGCTTCCGCCTACTGTGGTCCAGGCATCCTGCACTGCCTGCATCTCCCCTCATGCAGCATTTCAGCTAAAGAAAGCACTGTTGTATTGAGACGTGCAAAAGAAGATTTTTGGGGAGCCTGAAGTACAGTTTCCACTATGCAGAGCACAACAGGAAAACAGTTTATACATCCACACTTTTTTCTTACAATCTGACTTTTGAGTCCTTTCAACAAAACACTTTCAATCAAGCAGTTTGAAAACTAAGTATTTTTTTTAAGTTTTCCAGAGGGAAAACTTTCTTTTCGTACAGGTAGTTTCAGTTCTCTAGAGACCATCATATCAGTCAGAAAGATATTCTAATACAAAATCCAAAGCAGGGCAGGTTAGTATCTTCAGAAGGATAGTATAGCACAAAAGCAAAAACATCTTCATTCTGGAAAGAGAACAACTTTTTAGTGTGTTAGTTAGCGGAAATTAGACACAGACTCCACAGTAGCTGCAAAACCCATCCCTCCTCTGGAACCAGTGTCAAGGTCCCACATTTTCGGTACACAGATGATTCTGGGAGCTTTCTGCTTTCCTAGGCTGCAAGTGTTCAAGTGATGAGGTCCTTAGTTTGAAACTTGTTTTAGCCACTGGTTTGCCGTTTGGCTCTGGGAAAATTACATAACCTCTTCAAATACTTCCAAAGGCTGAGCCCAGAAAACTGCTTACCTATATCCTAGGTGCACTGTGGGAAATAAAAATTAATATTTCAAGGACACTTTGAAATTATTACCAAATAATCTACAATGGCAGATAATACCTTTCATTTAACCACCTGATATACGTGGAAAAACTGGCAAGTTTTTGGACAAACAAGCTTTGAACTCTATCAATTAGTACAATAGAAGTTTTTACCTCTCCCAGAAGCCTTGCCTGGCTTACAGCCTTTGCTGCTGTAGCTGTGGCTGTGTGACAGTCACTGGCACTGAGACTGTGAGTATCCGATAGGGAATGCAGGAAATGCATCTGTCCTTGCTGCCCGGGTAGACAACAGCTGATGTTGAAATACAGGAACCCAGCATACCACACCCTGGATAAACTCATTCTTGGCCGCACAATAAAGAAGGTAATTTCTGTGCAGTTATGTATCTCCAGCTATCATGTTCAGCCTTTTTCAGCATCTTCTTCACCTTCCTATTTCTCAGCTTAAAGCTTGCAAGTTTGCTTTTGTAAGTTAAATCCTTTGGGCCTCCTTATGGACTGCACAGTTGAAATAGCAGGCCTAAAGGAACAAAGTTACTTTAAATATAAACATTTCTTCTCTGACTCATTAATTCTGTATCATAAAAATATTTATAAATATCCACAGATTCTACTGTTGAGTGAAATTATGGAGTTTTGCATTTGGGGCTTCTAAAACCTAGTGAGGGCCACTTTCATTGGCACATACATGGCACATTGCTCACCTTGTGACACAAACCTGTCCCAGCAGCTGCCTTATGCTGGCTTTGCGTCATCCCAAGACAAAATGAGCGGGTAGGCACTAGCAGATCTGTCTCACCACGCACAAATGAAAAGCAGATTCAACACTGGGGCAGAGGAGATGCCACAAACCTCATTTGATATCAGACTGATTTACCTTAAAACTGTTCATTTGCTGGCCCAAATAACTGGCCTGCTCAGCTGTACCAGAAACAGAAACACATTTGCCTAATGAACTTGTGCATCCTGTTATGATAAGACCTGGATGCAACAAGAGGATCCAGGAGCAACCAGTATCTGCTCCCATCTCCTCCTCTGTGCCTCCAGCCCAGCTAAGCCCA